AGTGCAAGTTTTATGCTGATCCTAAAGCACTTTACAAGAAAAGATTAATTGCTATGCTACAGATCCAGGAACTGATGGACAGCGTGGCAAAGGAGTGTATAAAGAAGACACAGCAAGCCATTTGGGGGCAATAGTATGCAGGAATCCAGGGCCTATTCAACTAAACCATCTCCTACAGTATTTCTGTTTGCATTCTATTCACCACTGATTTACAATTATCCATCATGACTTGACAGCCTCCATAAATTAAATCTAATGCAGAATGATTTTTACAGAATTATCAATTTATTTTGTCAATTTCAATAACAGTTGACCAAACACAAAAGTAACAAGATTTCAGTCCCAAAAGAAAGGGATTCAAAGCTATAGCACTGGAGTACCAGGAGAAGCTGCTCTGACACCCATTTCAGCTCCAATATACATCTAGACTGAAACTAGTGACCTCTGTCACTTCAAAATCCTCTTCTGTCTCCCAGGGAGGTGTCAATACCTCTGATTTGCAGGAGACAACTCTGCTTTGGAGCATCTTTCCTAGTTGGACCAGCCTAATTCCCAGGTATTGCTGAGCAGCCTTTCTTACAAAGAGGACATTGGGAATGAGCCTCGTTAACATGAACAGGAGTCAACTGCTTTGGCACCCCATCAGAAATGGGAGTAAGAGTCCCTGCATTTCTAAATTCCCAAATCAGCTGTGTTATTATGCTGATGACTTCAAGCAGTCTCTACTGGAAGCTTCAAAGGCTCTTGTGTGATGAGCACATCCAGTTCATATCACCCCTAGAGGTCCCTTCTGAGATGGCATGACACCTTTCATCACCACACCAGTGTAACATACACTGAACAGAGCCCAGTGAACCTGGGAACTTGGGCAGAGAGTTACAGCACATGGGAAAATGTCAGTTCACCATGTATATCTCCCTTTTGCTATTGGGTAATATGAAAACAGCAAACTGTCAAGGCTCTTAGTTCTGTTGCAGTCAAAAGGTGTCTCTGTAACAGCTTGGGATCACTCGTGCTGTGCTGGGTGCCCTTCCAATACTGCTGCACTGGAAAAATGCCATCTGCTGTGCAGCACACCATGGGCCCCAGGCTGAAGGCATCAGGAGCAGGAAGAAGGGGAAGGCAGGTGGAACATTACAGTCCAAGCCTCCTATAGAACTACTGGCTTACTAGAAGGGCTGTCATTACAGCAGTATTGCAAATTTGACAAGAAAACATAGTGGACAACAAACTATCTACTTCAGATGCAGACTCAAGATGGTGTTTGTAAGAAAGTGAGAGATGCAGCACTGTCCCCTCAAAGTAAGTCCCTGTCAGCATCTGTCAAGCACTGTCAGACCTGGCAGTCCTGGAGCTGGCAGCTCTCAGTCTCCAGAGAACACTGGGGGACCCTGTGACAATTACTGACCAGGAAGCCTGACAAGTGACTTCCCCACTTGCTGGTATGAAGCAACTGCTGAGCTGCTCCACGCTGCTCTGGGTACAACCTGGATTTAGCTGTGCATCACAAATTTTCTTGCCAGACAACAAGGGCTTTCCCAACATCTTTCCCATAAAAAGGCTATTGGGCGGGCAAATGGTGTCTACCTATACTGGGAAAGACACAGTTGCAAATGGTATAGCCAGAGTGCAGTGGAGCTGTGTCTGCCTAATACCTCTATGCATCTAACCTCCAAATCCCATTAGTAAGTTTAAATAAGTCTAAGGGGAAAAGATGTCAGATTTACCATAGTCCTGACTCTAGACCCTCCCTGCTGGGCTGAGCCTGTCGCCCATGGCTGACACCACTGGCTGTGTATCTTAGATGGTTGTACCAATAACAATCATCAGCAAAAATAACTATTCCATAATACTTTCTTTAATGTTGCATGCCTTTGTAAGGCTCTCTCTCTTATCCCTCTTCCAATTTTTATTTTTTCTCCTTTAATTGTTTTCCAAATTTTCCCTGTTAGTTATTAACTAAAGCCAACTCACTGTGTATTTAGTAATCAGATTATCTGCTAATACCTGCCTAAAGCAGTCACCATTGATTAAAAGAAAGAGTGGTCATTATGTTATTTTTAATACAAATTATTTAGGTCCTCAGGCCAAGATTGAATTAAAGGAGAGATCAAATTAATGAGGGATTGAATTAAATTAGAAACATCTGATTGCAATATTTCCTACATCTCCAAACTGCCAAAAGAAGACAGTGGTATGGCTGTGAATTTATGTTATTTCATGACAAAGTACAAACAGCTTGTTTTAACCGCATCTGAGAAGTGTGCCTTACCATGGATAGAGCTGAGTAAATGCTCAAAAATCCATAGCAATTTTGAAAGAGGATATAAAGTAATAGCAAAAGATTTAATCAGAACATGAGCCACAAAATCTCTGCTAATTTCTTGTTTCACACAACGTAGGCCAGATTTCCCAGCACTCTGTTCATGCACTGCCTCCCCCACACGTGTACGTGATCGCTACAGGAGGGAGCTGCAGACATGGGTGCACACGGAAAGCAAAGCTCCAGGCCACCTTTTGGATGCAGGCAAATTTAATATATTCTTCCACTTATTAAGATTGCTTTTGAATAATTTTATCTTTTTCACCCTCCCCAAAGTATCTTAATGAGGGACATGATGTGAAAGCATTTCCCTGGCTTCTAATCTGGATACATTTATTAGTTCTAAGTAGCACAGGGAAGGAAGATTGCTCTCTACAGGGAGCAATCAGTGGGCTCAGGACATTGTCTGAACTGAACTGAGCTCCTCAGTTTTAAAAGTGGTTTTTCTAATCCTGCTTCTTATCCTACTAATCATCAACAATCCCTTTGCTATTCCTGCCCTGAGTCTGACTTCATCACAGCAGTACTTGTGTTGCCCTGCGTTTCAGTCACTTCAGTGAGACACTAAACTACTTGTGAGAAATGCTATAACTGACTTTATTGATTATCTCCCAATCATAAATATGCTAATTACAGAGCTGAGAAGATTTGTTTGTCTTTATTGCCATACTTCCACATAGAAAATTATTTTTTTTATTATTTCAATTAATTCCCTTTATACTTTGATCCAGTGAGTGTAGAGGACAGATTATTCCTCCCAGTGTGAGAGACTGCTCTACAGAAGCAGTAAGCCAATCAAGAGAAAAATCTTGGCAGTATGAAGTTGTGACCTAGTTCTATCCTTCACTGCAATTCCTCCTCTTTCCAAAACATCCAAAGTTCAAGACAGCTGGCCTTATACAGAACACTTCTTCTCTCTGCTCAAATAGGTCATTTACAGAATAAAGGCCATAACTGCACATAACCCCCTCAAACACAAACCAGAGTGTTTCCTTGAGCCATGTGTGGCTGGGCTCTGGGATGCTTCACATCTCTGGAAAGGCTTTCCTTGTGGGAAATGCAGCTGTGTTTTACATCCAAGGCAGAATGACTTTTCCCTGCTGATTTTAAAACCCAATTGCAATTACAGTCAGAACAAATGCCCAAATTCAGCATGCAACTCCCCAGATTCCAGGGTATCCCCCTGCATAAGGGGGCTCCATTTGGAATGGAGACATGCATTTTGCAAAGGTGCATCTCTTGGTCTGTGGAGGTCTGAGTATAAAGTGAGAAAACTTCACTGCAGGCCACAGAGCTAGGCTGGTTCAGGACAGCTGAGCCCTGTTTATGGCATGCAGAGGAAAGATAAGAAAGAAGCAGCAGTAACGTGGGTGCTGTTTATCAAATGGTGAAACAGCATGACCATGAGCCTCACAACATCTGAACTGTTTGGTGACAACTATAAAAATTCAGACGTTAGAAGCTCCTCACAAAAAGGCAGCAGATCCCTGGCAAAGCTATGGTGGGACCAATAGTTGGAGGTGTTGAGGTTCAGTGGCTGGACACTCTGCAGCCATTTGCCTTAGAAATCCACACAAATCCAGCACGGTCAGGACTGGCCTTATTAGTGTGTTTCAGAGGGACTGTTATTACAGTTGGAAATTTCCCAATTCAGTCTTTTGCTTCTCTTTTCACTCTGTTTTATTGGTGGGGTTTTTTTTAACCAAACTGAATCAATAACAGTAGTGCAGCATGTTCTTCCTATTGCCTATACATAAATATAATTTAAAGGCCTAAACTAATGTATGCCATGTCTTTCACTACAAAGAAGTTCCCATGGGATAAAACCAACAAAAAAATAAGATTAAAATATGAGCTTCCAAATTATGAAATACGTATATCCTCAATGGTTTACAGAGCTACTAGCTTCTGTATTTACAATAATGTTCACCCGTATCAAATTAAATCTCAGTATAAAACTATATTTTAACATTCAGCAAGTCCTGTACCCTTCCAAAATATCCTCACAGCCTCCTTGCAGGATTCATAGTCATGCAAGTTCATCAGAAGGCAAAAGGTCTTTGGACGCTGTGGGAAGGAGATTTGAAACAATGCAGTATCACTGTCAAATGTGTGATCTCTGACCCTCAACCTTCGCTTCCTGCTCAAACACAGACATTTGTCTGCTTCAGCAGAACAGGGCATCAGCTAAACTGGGAGAGAAGTGATGGCACTTCTTTCTTTCTCACATACAACACTGACTGATTTTGTAGCCAGTCCACTGTGCTAAATTATAAGAAACTGTACTCTAAGGAATTAAGAAAGTTGCCACATGAAAAAAAAAAGAGCTTTAGTAGTGCATTTCATTCCTGAAGTATTTGTGTGATTACTGCTGGAGGAAGCCCTTCATATGCTGTATCTAAACTCAGATACATGACTTTTTGCTAAAGCCATGGGCTATTCTAGTGAAAAAAGATGTATTTTTATAGTGGTAAGGTGATTTGGAAATCCACAGGTGTTGAGGTGATTGCCTGAGATATGTAGGATATAGAGGATTATGGGTTGAAAACATGATATTCAAGTCAATTACCTTGAGTTTAAGATGAAATAGAACTGTACTGAAATCTATAGTACAGTATAGTATAATGCAGTGGAGAATTAAGCTTCAAATCTTTTTACTTGCTCTATGCTTACAGGAAAACTAAAACCTCTTGAAGTCTAACTGTTTCCATAACAAGACTGCTCAAAATCCATGTATCCACAAATAGTTAAGGCACCCAAGAATGACGCTTACAACTGGATCACCCCGTTCATTGGTTTTGTGGGAATAAACAACAACAACCACCCCCCTCCACATTTGGCTGTGTGCTCCACCCACAGCACACAGCCAAATGGCCAGGCAGACACATTTCTCGTGGGTTTGTTCTGTAGCAGTGACTGTGGCATTCCCAGGACAGCTGTGACAGAGAGGACAAACTGGAACAGTGGCAGCAGCAGTGAAAGGCACAGACTGAGTGGATGTCTCAGCCAGGCAGGAAGAGGGCCAGCCAAGAGAGGCTGGGTGCCAGGCAGTCATCTCTGTGCTTGCTGCCTGCTCCCGAGCCTGGGACTGTAAACACTGAGCCTTGCCCCGGGAGCCCTTCCTGGGCAGAAGGAAAGCCTGCCTCTGGAAAGGTGTGAGCAGGAGGGCACAGCACCAGCACACAAACCCTCCTGCTCCTCTGCACAAATAACGGGGACGACAGCCAAAGCCTGGGCACAGGGATGAAAGCACATTTGTGAAGAAGTTGTATCTGGCAGGGAGGACAGAAGGAGCAGCTCTGCTGGGGGATATCAACTGCCCCCCTGTCTGCGATGTGGCTAGGTATGTAAATCCCTGCCTTGGGATCCTGCTGTGCACAAGTCACCAGATGGTGCTCTACATACAGACTTGAAAGTTCTTTATCTTAATGTGGGAGCTTCTGCGGCCTTTGAGGAAATAACGATGTTATTTTTGTGAAGCCTTTCCTTTAAAGTTTAATTTGCATCTTAGTCTTTTCATCTCAAATAGTTTTTTTGTTAAGCTGTTTATTCAGAACAGCTTCGGTGCTGAGATTTTTGAGACAGAATATTCAGGCATAAGATTTCCATAACATTTCCATAAAATATGGGAGTAAAATATAAACTGCAATAAGAAAATATTTAGTCATATAATTTTTACATCACTTATTTCACCTGCAATGGTAAATAAATATACAGAATCTTCTGCATCACAGTGGATATGACATCACAGAAGTGGTACCATGTAAGAAAAGAAATCTGAGGATGTGGTGAAGATTAAATAGTAGGTAAAAGGCTTTTCAGATAAAAACAGCCACAGCATAGTAAAGCATTCTTATCTTCTAGAAATGCAATGCCAAGTGTATCCTACTCATCTTCCCTCTGAAATCCTATACCCATCCTGCTTCCACTAATAGTTTTAAGACAATTAACAGAAATACTGAAAATATGGATGCCTCTTTTTCATCGTCTCTTAAAAGAGAATTCATGTCATTAAATTATGTATTAGAAGTCACGCGCACTACGACTCTGAAGATCAGGACAACAGCAAATTTATTAAGAGGATGCATTTGATCGTCGCCTTGAAATTTTGGAAACCGCCCAGGAGATGGCAGCAAATGGCACTCCGGGGGTAGGAGCCTCCGGGTGAGTCTGCGAAATGCTCAAATCAGCGCGGGATTCCCAATTACACAGGCTTTATCTTCCACCCAGCACGAACTCATTAATTTTGTTCTTTACCGAGCGGCAGAGGGAACAAAGCCACTGAGACTTTCACATGTTGCACTCAATCGGTGTGTAACATTGTAAAAATATAGTAGCACTTTAAAGTAACTTGTCATTTCCATAAAATTTATAATTACTCGAATCATTTATTTCCCCACATGAAGGCTATTAAAAATAGTTTCAAGGGGAGTGCAATTCGTTATGAAATGAAGGTCAATATCATTAGATCACTGTAACAGGGATCTTAATAACATCCTGGCAGAAACGAGGTATCATTACAGAAGTTGTATTTTGTTTGAAATATTAGGTCATCATTAACTGAGCACTAAAATACACATAATATTGTGTATTTTATGACATAAATTATTCCCCTGAAAACCTGCCACACACAGAGGTGGTAAAACAATGATGAGGGTATGACACAAAGCTTAACATTTTCTGTCTTTCCTAGCTGAATTCACCTACTTAATATCAGTTTGGTTTGCTGCTCCTTCTGCATACTGAGCCACAGTTGGATTGCTAAAATTATACAGGGAGCTGGTTTCAGACTGTGACACTGCAAACTACAACCAGTAGGAAAGATGTTTGATTTTCTTTGTAACAGCTGAGTAAGCTGCCATCCAGGAAATACCAAAATTTAAAAGGAAAAAAATTAAAAACAGAGAGTCCAGAAGTAAACATTGCTTTTACAAATACAAGAGAATGAGTTACTTTCCCTTTAATTATCTTTACCCATTTGGAAAGTACCACCTGGTTTTTCTAGGCCTTTCATTCTACTGGAACCACAGCTGAAGGTATGGATGTGTTTCTCTGGAGCTATATCACAGCACTTAACACCTGGCAGGATCATGCTGAGCATCTGCTCCAAGCCAGTCAACAGTACCCACAAAGGTATCACAGATTATCCATGGGAGGGAGCTCACCAGTTCCAAGAGCTCTGCTTTCCATAGGCTCCAGACCTCCATGGTATCAACTAAAGACTCGTAATACACCTGTGGGGTACATCAGCAGCCTCAGGAAACTGTGAGGAAAGCAGAAAATTAGGTTGTACTGATTCCTAGCACCATGAAGTGGATCCAGGAAAAGTTCTCCATCCATGGAGTGTGTGCTGTAACACACACTCCTTTCAGCAGAACAGGTTTAACCATGGGTACACGGCAGAGGTTGTGGTTAGGTGTGTACAAACACAGACACTCAGCCTGGAGCAGCTCACAGCAGCCACAGATGGCACTGAGTGAACACTCTGGTAGTGCTGTTTAGCAGAAGCAAAGGCAGCCCTGCTGCTTCATTCAACCATAGCTTGGGTTTTTTAAAAACTCCCAGCTGGAAATTGGGATTTATTTTTAAAATATTGATCAAATTTCCATATATAAAAATGCTAGTTACAAGAATGAAATTTTTAAATTATACTTTCAGCTGCACATTATATAATGAACTCAGACAGCAATTCTTAGCATAGGGCAGGGAGGCCCCACAACACCTTGGAGAGACACCCCATGTCCCTGTGCCCCCCAAGCTATGTCCCCAGGGTGTGCCACCACATCACCAAAATGAAGCCCTACCCATCATGTAACAGGGACACAAGGACATGCCTGTTGGACGATAAGCTCATCATGCACTCCTTACAAGGAAGTTTATTTTTTTTTAATTTGACTTTCTGCCTATCACTGACTTACTATATTTACATCAGCTTTAAAATTTTCTTTTTCATCAGTTTTCTTTGCGAAACACTTTCTTAGTAGGTAAAACACAAACATAAATAGCTACAGTGAGAGAATTGTGAATTGGCTTGAAGTGGGTGCTGCAAAGGGAAAAGGCAATACACGAATCAGAGCATGTGCAAGAACAGGATAGCACTGTCCAAAAAGCACAAAAGCTTATAGAAAATTACCTTAACAGCTGAATTTTGAACAAATTCAGCAAACAAACAGCAAGTGATGATCAGGTAAGGTGAAACACTATAAGGTTCTTGGAGGGTGAAGTCTCAAAAGCATTTATGCTGAAAGCAAATAAAGTCCACACCTGCCCACTGTTAATTTCTGCCTATGCATGGCTGGTGTGCATTCTCCTGAGGACCATCCAGTGAACAGACTGGATAAAAACCCAGGTTAAAAATACAACCTTCTTTTGCCTGAGTTATTTTTTCTCCTAATCTGCTGCCTCCACTTGGTCTCCATGGTTACACAAATACTTCTAGTGGTACCTTTGCTACTGTCATGCGAAGAAGGTTAGGGAGAATGGAGAAGCCAGCCTTCAGAAGGCTGCTGAAGCTGACACTGCTGCAGAAAGGGAAATCTCATCCCAGGATGCTCTGAGATTTCACAAACCCTTCCTTTACAGCAGCGTGATTTAAGAAGTCCCCACCCCAGTCCCCTCTTCAGCTGTTTGTAAATAAAAGAGTGTCACCCTCTCCTCCAACAGTGCCGTGGTGCAGTGGGGAGGATGTAGGGCAGTGCAGACAGAAGGGATATAGAAGCAGCTCTGCTGCCACAGGAAAAGCCATGGAACACAGAGGCCATTCTCCAGGATACAGATCCTGAAAACTGATCTGACTGGAGCTGGCAGAGGACTCATGCAGAAAATGTAATGATGGGGCAGTGAGGAGGGAAAAGGTACTATTTGTAGCTTGGTGTAAAAGGCTCCAAAGAACAGAATGGACAGTGCCACGATTTCTCATTTTTTCTTAACAGCATAAAATGGATGAACTACATGGATTCAGCTCCTCTCCAGCATTAGAGTGGACTTGGAGGTCAATCTACACCTATTTCTTAACAAAAACAGTGCTAATGTACCTCTGGGGAAACTGTCAATGCCAGTGACATGTTTCTAAACAGAGCTTCTTGTCTCTTGTTTTTTAAACTATTTTTAAAACTATTTTTGTATTTTTAACTATTACATTAGTCCTTTGCAGAATTGTTTCAGTTTGTCTAACATCAGACTTTTAGCTTCAAACTGTTTTTCTGCAGTGCTTCTCAAATCTAAAACATCTCCCACCAGCATGCCAACCCTTAGCATGACACACTGACTGCTCTCAAATATAAATATAGAAATAAATATAGAATAGATTAGAACATACAAACATCCTTTATGACTTGAACAAGGATATATTATTAAATCAGTTCATGAAAATTGTATTTAAATGCAGTGTATATAGGTCTTTATTATTAAAAATTGTATTTCATGTAGGTTAAGTCAGATGAAAAAGATATAAAGAAAAGATAATGAACTAATCTCAACCTATTTTTTTTCCCCTTCCTCAGTCATGAAGAGTGTTCCTCATTCCTTTTACATCCCTTCAGTGGCATTAAAATGGACCTTGCTACCAACATTTGATCATTACCAAGAAGTTCACAGTGCTCAAGCCCATCAAAAAGTGAAGAAATGCACAGAGTGACTCCTATGAGATCATTTATTCTCAGTGAAGAGCAATTAATGGATTGCAAGTCATGACTGGCATTCCAGGGAACCACAAAATCAGGAGGGTGGGATCAAAGTGGTAAGAGATCTCTCCTGCTCCAGAACACATAAAAGACTGGATTTCACTACTGCTGCCCTCTGTACTTTACACTGACACTACCATTTCCCCCCTCTGTTCACTGGTTTACAATACTCTGATATGGGTGCTCTCATTTTCTAACTGTACTTGTAAATGTTGAAAAGATTGACTGGGAAAATGTTTTTCAGGTAATCAGTCATTTTTACTATGCATCCTTCAGTGTTCATGGACCTTTCCAGGCTATTACACACTTCAAAGAAGCTTATGATTACCTCCTCAGGAGCTGGAGAAAAAGCATGAGATTATTCTTTACTACCTAATTCATTCAAATGGAGTGAACTCATTTTTATAACATTTGCTACACTGTTTGTCCCAAAAGCAAGAATACACTTTTACTTTTATAATGCATGCCTGCAAATGAAAATTACCTCTTCTGTGGAATTGTCTACAGGCTTTGCTAGATGAGTGATTTGTGACAGTCCAGACTCAACTGCACCAATGCAAAGTGCCCTATGTCCACAGAATTTAACTCCCGGTGTTTAAAAAATCTGAGAGTTGAATGGAGCATAATTAAAGTGAAGGTCAAACTACATCATTACTGTATTTGCTTGCACATTTGTCTCTGCTTTTCTGAGTCTGCAAAACAGCTTCTGCAGCCACTTACCTTAACTAGGCACCCAGCCAACCTGCCCAGTGTGTGCCAGGATGCACTGAGAGCCAGAGACTGAGCCTAGGGGAGGTCACAAATGTGCGTCTTCTTAGCACACATTCTGCACTTGAGACCTTCAGGCCACTCTCACCCTGCACCCATCCCAGCCTTTGATCCTCTCCCTCCCTCAGAGGCCATGGAAGTGCAGGATATCGTTGTAGTCATTTCTGGTACATCTTTCTGAAAATATTGCTATGATAACAGTCACAAGCAGTGAAATGCTGAATAAACATTCTCTGAGGAATTTCAGAGAGGTTTAAACTGTATTAAAAACAAAAGCACATCTTGGCAGTCAAGCTACCTGTCCACATCAAGGAAGGTTGAGATCTAAGCAACAAAGCTGGAGACATTTCAATCCAACTCAATCAACCCAGATACTGAAATTGCAGCCAGTGTTTACAGTGCTTGTTACAACCTGCTTTCCAGCAAGCCTTGCTGCCTGCTCTCCTGGGAATTCCCTTGCCTCACCTCACTTCAGCAAGCTATCCATCCTTCCTCCTCTCTGCAAAAGCAGACAGCTACAATTCCCTGCCTACATTCCCATGTAAGGAGGTGGGGAAATTTCTGATGGCATCTTACTATTCATCCCATTTTCCCCCTAAATGTCACTTGGCTGGTATGCCACACTTCACATGAGATGCCAGCACAGGCCCACACCTTATCCCAGATGGAGTCTGTAGATTTGAAGTTACAGACTGAGGATACATAAATGTTTTTGCATGCATTCCTCAAAGAACCAAGAGCCTGCAAAGACCCCACCCTGGCACCCACCAGCAGCCAGCTCTCTATGCATGACAGCAGCAAGGCAGAAGTGAAAAAAATTTTTTTACAGCCAGGCACTGCTGTATTTATGTGTTTTTCAGAAGTCACTGTTAGAGGAACACTTGCCATTTATCTTTCAGGCAGTGTGAGTCCAGCCCACACAAACCCTGTGCCAATTCAAGGCACTGCAGTCTCCCCATTCCTCCTCTCTCCCCACAGGTCCATCATGTTCCCCGAATGCAGAAACCTGCAACCCCACCACAGGCTCTTGGTTCCTCTCCAAGCATGAAGTCCTGGCCTTTCCTTTTCAGTTATCAATGTTAAATGCAAAAAAGAACCCCAAGAGTCTCTGCTGAACACCAGTTCCTATGAATCTATAAAAATTTATGTGAGATACATCTATTTATCTAATCTATCTATCTTCATCTACCTGTGAAGGCAGAGGAAATTAATACAGACAATCAGGTAAAACTGTTAATTTCAACGTTGAAATTGTATAACAGCTAACTGTATAACTGTATAACTTCTGAGAGTTTTTAAGTATCATTGATCCTTTCCCTATCAAATTCCTCTTAAAAGGCTTTATTTCTATCAACTTTTAACAGCTTTTTTGATAGTATCATCTATATAGGCTTTTAAAAATACTATATGTCACAGAATTGTAATATAAAGCACATATAAATAGCACATTAAAAAGCAGAAATTACAAGACACAGTCAAACCCTAAAAGCCATAAATTCAGTGCAAAACCTCATTAATTGTGCAACTAGCTTTAAACATATATTCTGGGTATATAAATTAATTATTTTAGAGTCAGAAAATGGTCTGATAATGCTTGCAAGATTGGTAAATTCCATCCATGAGCATATATGGACTTGAAAGCTGAAAAAAGACTTAGTATCTCCATGGTATCCAGAACTGTGTCTGTATATAACTTCCCAAACTGTAGGAAGAAAAAGAACTAGCTTTGCTACCCTGGAAACAGAACAGTGGAATATAACTGACTGTTACTTGTCTGCCTTTACAAGACCAATTGCTAAAATGTTAAGGCCTTCAATGACATGGGTAGCTTTGTTCCCACCTGAGAAGTAAATCTGCTGGGAAAGGACCAAGAACAAGCTCACCAAAAAAGGGAGAGAAGCCCAGGAATGAGAGGCAATTCTAGGAAAAGCATGGGATTAGAGAGGAGAAAGAGAGGAAGAGGAAAATTGAGAAGATATCTTGCTGTATGAAGAGGGGACAAAGTGTTTGGTTTGATTGGTGAGACAGAAAAAAGGCCCTTAAAATGAAGGGCTGGATCCCAGTCGTGCTAAAATAAACTTTATGAATAAATTGTTAGCAAATCCTGGATTGCTAGAATTCTAGAAACTATGCATGTCTTTAATTTCTTAACTTACTTTTCCTTTTCTCTTCACCGGAAAATGCCACCCTCTTTGGATGTGTCCAAAACATCCAAGAATTATCACCGCCTGCATTTTCCTCACAGTTTGTGAAGTTCTGCAACATGAGCCACAGTCTTTTACTTCATTGGGAGCATTCCACACTAGACCTTCTTCACTCTAGACAAAAGTCCAGGTTGTAAAATGCTGGATGTTCTCCTCATCTCCTTCACCTGCTCTCCCTGCGTGTCTCTCAGCCCTCCTGCCCTCACGGCCCTCCGCCGCCCTGAGGGCACAGACCCCCCCCATCAAACCACCCCTCAGGCGGCGAGCGGGCGCGTTTTTAATTCCCTCAGGAACCGAAGGTCTCCTGAAGATGTCACCAGCTTTATGGCGCAGCTTTTTGCGGGAGGATGTGAATGTTCAGAGTTCTTTGGTACTTGCTTTAAGACTACAAGGTAGTCTGAAAATAATCGCTTCAGGTGGTGAACGACAAGCACAGGCTGTGTTTGTTATACTCTGCTACCTGGATTCTGAGGCTGGACGGCAGCACCGGCCTCCCCCTCACGATAAGGCGCCATCGGGGCTGCCCAGGGGCGGTGCCTCCTGCGGGCGGGATCGCACTGAGGGGGAGCGGTTCGCCATCTTAGGTGCCTCCGCCCCCTCGAGCCACGTGACACGAGCGGCCGCCATCTTAGGCTGCCCGCGCGGCCGGGCGGTCACGTGCGGCGGCGCTGAGGGGACGGGGGTCGGGCCGGGACTCTGCGGCGCCATGGGGCAGTGCGGCATCACCTCCTCCAAGACCGTCCTCGTCTTCCTCAACCTCATCTTCTGGGTGAGTCTGGCCGCGCCTCGCGAGGGACAGCGGCTCCGGGGTTCTAGGTCGGAGCCCGGCCCTGAGCGCTGCGGGCCTCGCTCAGGAGCCGGGAGCCCAGCTCCCCCCCTCACCTCCCCGCACGGGTTCACTTCATATTTAAACTCTTTATGTTTAACGGGCGTTCTGAGCGTCTTTGCAGGGTGTGGGTTCAGTGCTGGGCACAGTCCCTTCCCTCACAGTCCTTCCCCCGAGTTCCAGGGTGGGGAAAGCCGACCCTGGCATTGAATTCTTAACGAGCATTAGGGATCTTGGAGTTCGGGCTCTTGTGTAAGCGAATACAGCTACTCTCTCTTGCGTTACTGAGTTTCTCAGGTCACTGGTGGTTTAATTTCTGTAGCCAGTTTAATTTTTGTAGCGCTCTTCTGGCCATCTCGGGTTTGGCCGTCCGCTGCGGGACATCCCAAACGCTTAGCTGGGAGCATGGGGCACCGTTTTCTTCCTGTTGCTTGTAACACAAGATCAGGACATGTATCTTTATATATTTATGCTTTATGTATTCCACTAGCCACGGTAGCATTGTCGTATTTATGCATCGCTGAAACGTTCCCCAGCTACAGTGACAGTAAGACAAAAGCTTACAGTAGGTTGCTCTAAATTGCATTTTTCAGTATGGACCTACAGGTTTTAGCTTGGCATTGTGTTCACTGTAATGGCTTGTGAGAAAAGCGTTACTCTTAAATAAATTAAATCACATTAAAGAACCGTCTGTAGATTTTTAAGAATTCCCTTTGTGCATTTAGGTGCTGCATTTTTCCTGCTCTAATCCCACCTCCAGGAACAGAATATCTGTTGTCCCAATTGTTCAGAGATTGCATCTTTGAGAAAGTAATAGTGGGTTACAAACTGTTGGAACATAAAAGTGTAGCTATATATACCTGCTTCTTTTACTATTGAAAATAATATAAAATCTTACTAGCGTTACAGGATGACTGTTCTTGTCTGAATTTTTACAAACGAGTGCTCCTTAAGGGTGCCTGGAAATTAATCATCGTCAAGGGAAAATGCATGTCTATGCTTTCTTACTGGCAATTGCCTATACAGCTCTTCTGGGAGAGGAGCAGTGAAGGTGAGGCATATTTGGCCTTAAGTGGTACAGATCAGAAGTCTGTAATTCTGGCTGAGGTGCACAGGCTCCATTCTCTAAAGTAAAAAGTAGTGACATCAATCTCCTACTGCAGCCTTAAGGTTGGAATCTGCTTTGTTGGGTGTGGCTTTTTGTAGCATGCATAATTGCAAGTGGCATTTTAAAAGCTCTTTAACGGCTCCTGCGTCATACTTAAAAGTTTTTGACTGGACAGAGTTTTTGTGAGTTGCCTTCTTGATGGCACCTTGAAGTAGATTTTTCTGTAGTTGCTAATATAAATGAGTCTCTGTTTGGAGTAAATGAGCAGAAGTTGTGTGTGCAGTTTCTCCCTCACTCTAGAAGCTTAGTGATAGGTAATGTTCTGTATTTAGTAATGTAATTGCATGTTCGAGTTTGCAGTTACTCATCTCATACAGTGTTGGAGTCAAAGTTATTTTGTGTACTGCTGAACTTTGTGCTTTACAACTTTTGGTCACTTTTGAGACAAACTGGGCTTAATTTAAAGTGAACAGATTGTAGTTAGATAAGATGTACTTCATGTCAAATTAAAATGTCATCAATCTTGTATTCTGTAACCACCTCCAGCCTAAGAAGTCAGCTTGTGCTGATAGCTTTTTGGCAGATAAGTGACTGGGTTGCTTGTTTTGGAGCAACCTTGCAGCTCATCAGCTTCATGTAGAACGAGGCAGGCTTTCTGAAAGTGAGTTACAGAAATCACTGGTTTCCCTTTCTTTCACAAGCTAGAGTCAATAGCTCATTTGTTGACTGAGCTGTGTATGTTAACATTTGGTGCTCATCTAGTTGGCAGTGTAAGTGCTTTTGTGCTGGTGTAGAAATCTTCTGCTTGACATCCTTATGTAGTTCCAGTGTTGATAATTAAATCGTTTGGATTTATCCAGACTTGACAATAGGCAAATGCCTGTAATTGGTCAAGTAACTGTGAAATCTCCTTTAATTGCATTTGTAAGTTTACTCTCTTTAAGGTTTCATATAACAGTCTTCTGTGTTGCCATTATCTTCATGGTCACCTGTAAGAATAGTAGTTGTGACTACACAGTGGATTAAAACTTCCCCCCTTGCTCTGTGGATCCCTTACTTGTGGGAGGATGTGAATGTTCAGAGAGGTTTTATATCCGTCTTATGACTGAGATGTTCAGAAAATAATCAGTGCGGTAAAGAAATAGCAGCAATGTGCTTGTTACACTTTGGAGTCTCGGTCCTAACAAAATTCTTTCAAGTCTGAAAGAGGCAGATCAGGCCTTGCTGACAGGTGACAGCCACATTTCAATTCTACAAGTTCATCTCATTTTGAAGAGTCTTGTGCTATTTATTACATCTTAGTTGACACTATAAGAAGTTATTTATTGTCTTGTGAAAACTTTTCTACTGTGTGAAATTCTTACATTAAAGAAAATAGGCTGTGGAAGCTGTTTGAAAGCAGGGCAGGTACTAATTTATCATGTAGAATGCTGAATGGATGTTACTTACCTTTCCACATTTTTGGTGTGGTATTTTGACAGTTCAGCTGAGTTGTATTCACAGGGGTGTTCAACGTTGAGTGTATCTTCTGTAGGTGCCCATATTGCCTTTAAAACACAGTTCTGTAAGAAAACAGTATCATGACTGGTAGTCATAAAGAGTAGCAGAATGTAAATTTTGTGTGGAACATGTGCTTGAGTTTTGGATAATTTGCTGAAGGTCAAAACCACTTTACTAAGAAATGCATTGATATGAAGTATCAGCATCTTAAAGTATTAGCAAGTATTAAAACTTGCCCTCCTTAGACTAGGGAATACTGATCTGATTAATATGTTTCTTAGTGTCTCATTGCTATGAGTTAATTTTTGAGTAGATAGGATAAATGACAAAGGAAAGCCAATCCTTCCATTGACCTTTACCTTGAGTTTGCACAAGATTTATTTGGTCAGCTGGTGACTTCATTTAGGGGATGCTGAGTCCTTTAAGGAAGGGTATTTTATAGGAAGTAATTGTGATGTGAGAGACAATACAACTTAGAAATGAAGTAGTGTAACTTCTAGTACATATATCTTCATAATAGCAAGATTTTTTTTCTTACCTTGAAAAAATGTTGATAATGACTAATAGGAAAAAAATGGGGGGGGAACCATAATAATATATTTGAGAATTACATGTTCTTCAGGAAACCTCCTAAACTTAAAGTCTGCATAATTTTGAAAGAGGAAAAAATATATTTACCTGGAACAAATACCTAAAGACTACTGCAAAACATGTTTGTGTGCCCTTAATTTATGACTTTATTGTGTGACTTGCATAATTCTGTTGAAACCAGTTTGAAGATGAGATGGAGACAAAAACACTGAGGAAATGTTTTCAGTCTTAGTTAAGTTCATAGGATAGAATAATAAAATATTCAGAGTTCCATGTGGTCTTGCTTCAGAAAAGGAAATCTATTTTATATTCCCAAAGAATTTATGTGCTTTTGACAGCCTCCTCTGCTGAAATAGTGCCAGATATCCTGTGCTTGCTGAGGTTTTTATCTTTCACCCCTGTGTCCTTCTCTTTGAGAAGAGGAATGAACTCTGTTTCTACAATACTTTCAGCTCAATAGTTGCAAACTATTTAAGTTGCTTTTGTAGTATTTAGCTGGCTCAAAATCATTACTTTGACAGTTCATTTGATTAAGCTGTTATAAAACATTCTTGCTATGATTGTTTAGAAAAATCTCAAGTCTCTACTTCTGTAGAGCACAAATACTTTCTACAAAGCTGTGCTGCCTGCACAACTTGGGAATGCTCACCACAGTGCAGTGACCTGAGTATGGGAAATGGAGGATTTTCTTAGAGGAGCTGCAACAGTCAATGTCTATGTAATGTGTTTGGGGATTTCTGGTAGAAAAAAAACAAAGAAAATGAAGCAATGGGAAAAATCATTCAAATTATTAGTAGAAAGGGAGATTAGTGCTCACTTTCTTTCACATAGCAATAAGCCTAGCAATTTCTCTAGCTTGTGAGCTTGAGAATACTTATTGCTCTACACTTTAAAACACTTCTTGAGAGTTCTTCGGTGATCAAAGACTAGTTGATGGATGATCCCAAAGGTAACTTTGTAGAGATTACTTCACCAAAGCCCTTTTGTCTTGAAAGACACTTGCTTCTGGATGTAAAAATTTAATGTTTTCTGCTTCTTCTACAATGGTAGTGTGAAGCAAGTGTATTCTTCAGGATTGTGTAATGGTTTTAAATACTATGCATTAAAAAGATTAGTTCTTTTAATAAAGAAAATAGGATTTAAAACTCTCAAGCGTTATACCCTCTGAGTAATTTTTCTTACAATATTTGAATATGAATTTTCACATAGCAAACATGGGCCAGGTCCTGAATTTTAGTAATAAATAGTTCAGTTTGCTTTTAAGCAACACAATAGTGTCATTCATGTTTCTTTACAGGATGAATTTCAGGTCTTTGCCTGGGTTTTTTTCAGGATTTTTGGTATTTGGTATTGAGTTTAAAAAATCTAATGCCTAATACAGCCAAGTTGCAAAGCTAAATGTGATACCTTTGAATAGTACAAGGAATTTATAATATCACTTTACCTGGTGAACTTTGAGGCACAGGGTGATCATCATTGTTCTCCCACAGAGCAAGGAATCTGGGAACAGTAGAGCACCAGCTCAGGTTACAGCCATGGTGACTAAATAGATGTAAAAGAATGTCTGTATTGTTAACTTGGCTTCTAAAGAGATAGAAGACTGCAGATGCACTACATCTTGCAATTAGTGGCACTTCAAATATGTAGTGCTGAATGCAAAAGCAGCCTAGCTCAGCCTTTTGCTTTCACCTAAAAAAGCCTTTGAATTTGAGGTGTTCAGGCATGGTGTTAGAGAGTTGAATGTGGCTAGTACAGACAGAGCAGTCTGGCTTGCATGAATTTTACAGGGCTTGCTTGTTTTATAAGCCTTTAAGATAGTTTTAAGTGCATTAGAGAGCTGAATGGAATTGCTGTCTTTCTTCTCACAAAAGATTTTGTAAGACAGTTATAGCTCAGTGTTCAAGTTAACTTATTACTGATGAGAACAAAGAGAAGAGTGCCAGGAAGCCATTGGGTTCTAAGCTGGTTATGCATCAATTTCAGGAAGCAGAGAAAATATTGAGTATGGGTGTGGGTTTGTTTGGGAGGGGAGTGGATAGAGAGGTACACAGCAGTGAAGTGCTGAAAAGGCTATAAGAGAAATAAACCCCAGAGAGATCCTATCCTGTTGGGCCTTTGAGGTTAAGGAAATAAGTTTTGAAGAACAGAAATCTAAGAGGAAAACTTTAAAGGTTTTGTCATCCCCTTCTTTTTATGATAGTAATCAGGCTATGAGTACTTTAGAGTTGGAAAGAACCAAAAATGTCAGAAATACCCTAGAAGTCAAATAATGGAACCCCACTTACAGTGATCTTCTAAGAAGCCCAAAAATTTGGAGGCAGACCACAATACCAGTGTTCCTACTTGTGGGTAGGAAATGTTCAGGAGTTTATGCATGGATAAAAGTAACTGTAGACTCAAAAAATCTGTCCTGGAGTAGATGTGTGTTTTGTTTTTCAAAAAATGTTAGAAAGGCAGTGAGAACAAAGATAAACTCACATTTAATGTGAGGAGGGTAATAGACTTGTTGGGAAAATGGTCCTAGGACTGGATTCAGACAGAAAAGCTGAGGGTCTGTTAGTATAAAAGGTTTTTTTCTTACTTTTTCCTTTGAATCTTTTTATCAAAGATGTAGATGATCTGTCAGAATCACGGGTCTAGTTAACAATCCCATGCTTGAAAGATATTTCCACAGCAGAATGAATAATTGGTTTTAGAGTAGTGTCTTCATTGCTATCAACATTTGCCAGTCAGCAGTGGCAAAGTTGGCAGCAGTAGGAATTTTTAAGTAAGTGTCCTTACAAAAAATACAAAATACTCCTCTTGCCTAACTGAATATCAGGTGTGTTTTCTCCTAAGATACAGTACTTTGCTGCTACCACCTTCATTTTCTTATTTAGAGTATGTGTTTTTCTTAAAACAGTGAATAAAACATAAATTCTAAAGGGACAAGTACTATTCTTTGGCTGAGTTAATTGAAATGATACCACAAAGGAAATTCAGAACTTCTGCTGTGTGTTCTATTAGGGTCCCAAAGTGAAGAAAATTCTGTTGCAAGGTGAACAGTAAAAGTATGAGCCTGCAAGTGTTGATCATATCGCTTTGGCAGTAACATTATAAGGGTAATGTAAGGAAGCATTTGCTCATAAATGAAGCTGCATGTCCATGGTTGATAAATAAATGATCAATGGAACAAGTTTGAATCTCTTACACCCATCATAGGTAGCCACAATTTTGGCTTTCAGACTGCAGCAGTATGTTACTGAAAATATGAAAACTGTTCTTGGTGTGTGTTTGCAGCCTCCTTGGAAAGCAAACAAGCAAACTAAATCCCTGAAAGTGTTTTAAGGTGCAGCTAGACAGTAATACAGCCATGTACATCTCAGGGCTTGTGAGAGGTGGAAGCTGACTTTATGAAATGGCCACAAGCTTAAGAGGCTGTGTTACAGCAGTCCAAAGAGTACTCAAAGAACCTCGATTTTTAACTGAGCTTTCTTAGATTGTGTTGAGTGATGTTTATCATTGTGACATTAGATCTTTCAGTTTTTTCTCCAGTTCTTTGCATAGTTGTTGAGCTTTTAATAGCTCCATAGAAGTTTCAGCCAAAGCAATAAAATCAGTATTTTTCTGGACTGTGAGAGGTCTGTATTTGAAACTTGCTTCTGATGAAAAGGATGTTGAATTGCTCAAGCCTTTTGCAACAAGCTTGAATTCATTGACTGTATTCATTGACTACTTATATATCAGTGTTTTTAAAGGTTAATTCATCCTAAAATAAGAGTATGCTGCTTCAGGTTCAGAACTGTGAGTTAGATGCAGACAACTAAAAGGATGTGTGAATGCTATCACATCCCTAGAACATGCATGTGACCTGGCACAGATTCAGGAAATGCTGCCATATCTATTCAGAGCATTGAGCAGATTAACTTGGAGAATTCTTCCTTCAAGGCCTGTTTATCAAAGACATGTTTGAACTGTGTGCAGTTCATATATTTGGCTTCCATTTAATGATAGGAAATACATGATTGTAAATGCAGTAGCTTTATATTCAATTGTATTTGACTTGAGCAAGTTTGGACTTTGCTGATTTTCTGTTTACTGTGCAGGATGCTGAACACTGAGATCTAGATTATTTTGTTTTGTTTTTTTTTATTTATCCTTGTGTCTGTATAGACTCTGTTCCTTAGATGATGCCTATTTTGAGATGGATGGTTTAAGCACATGGTACTGTTTTGGGTGGGTTGTTTGGTTTTGGGAGGAGGAGAGTTGGTTTGGTTTGTTTTTTGGTTTTTTTACTTTAAAAAGCACATGTATTCAACTTTGCACTTGGTTAGCAACACGTAATAAATGTGCATTTAACTGGTGCAGCCATGGTCAACATAGACTTCACACTTCATATGATTAAAACTCTCTTGTCTGTTGCAGTGTTTGTTATTTGTATCAGTGGATGACACTGCTGTGTGCTGAGACCTCCTGTTGGAACTGCTGAGCTCTGAAGAGGGAGGACCTCAGGCCAGTGCAATCCCATTGACTGAATATCTCAGAGCAGTCAGCACAGGAACTGTACTGACAGTCTTCTGGCTTAGTTTCACCCAAAGTGACTTCTCTTACACACTCCTTTGACTATTCAGTGATGCAAGCCAGAAGGTAGTAAGAGAAAATCATCAGAAGATGAGCAAAAAGGGTGGCTTCAAAAACACTTTTCTCATCCCAGCTAAAACTCTTTAGAGACCTCCCCCTTCCTGGTTTAGAGCAGGGTGAAATAAACACTGTGTCCCGTGGTTGTGACGTGGAAGGAAAAGGGAGGGCATCTCAATCTTGTTTACATGTAAGATAACCAGGTAGTGTTGCTGTTTTCACTGTTCTGTGATAGACTAAGTACTGTATCTGTTCAAAAACTGTGTTCAGCTGTGATAAATGGGGAAGGAGTTTTAATCTTCATGGCTTTTAGTCCTTGTGCAGGCTCCAGCAGGTACCTCTGCTCTAAGGACCTTCCCTACCCCCCCTGCAAATTACTTGTTGAAGAGGTAGCAGCAGTAATTCTGAAGAGTGTGGTCACTTCATCACAGCGGCAGCGTCTGTTTCAGAAACACCAATTCTTCAACATTGTTCAGAAGCAAAACTTTAGGCCCAGTGCTGTCATGGATGATTAGTCATTCTTGTACCATGTCTGGAAGGGATTTAATGAAATCTTCAAACCAGGCAGCTTTTAATCTGTCTAAAGGCTGCAAATGCAATGTTTCTTAAGATGCATGTGCTTCTTGATGCAGAGAAAGATAACACCTGTAGGCAGATTTGAATTTTTTTTCAGGCTAAACTCTTTTTACTTCAAATATATTCTTCAAATGTATGTGCTTATGCAGTTTATGATCCAGGTTTTTCTTAAACAAGGAGGAAGTCAATTAAATTGCAACAAAAGAAGGACAAAGGAATTCACAAATGGTTCTGATTTCAGCTCTGATATATATTCTGTGCCTGATGCCAACCACAGCTGTGGTTTTTCATCTACCACCTTGTAACATACCATATTTCTAACAAGCATTTTAGTTCTTAGAAATAGGAGATTACATCACTGGCCTGCCATTCACACGCTTCATTGCTAGGCAACAGTTAATGTAATTCCATTGTTCAGTGACACTACTTAGAATCTTTGCTTTGTGTACAGAAAGTCTGTGTCTGCATTTTGCCTTGTTGTACCTAATATGGCAGGGTTCCTACAGATGGGTTTGCATTTCAACATCTGTGCAAGAGGGCGATTTTGCAATAGCTTGTTCACTCTTGTCTGGAAAAGATGTCTTACTCTGTGTTACTGAATTTTGTTTTGCCTCCCCTTATATGTACATAGCACCTTTTCTTGGATGAATGTGAAGCCTCCTGGATGCCTTTAAGATTCCTGCAGAGTACACAATTACCTCTGCTGCAGAAAGAGAGTTGGAGATGTCAGATGTGTTGCTCAAATCGATGTAGATGATACTTTTGATCTGGCTTTAGTATCTCTTTCTTTAACATAGTGTTTCTCTTAACAAAGTGCTGCAGGGACTATTCCATACATAAAGTAATATGCTGGTAGTGGTTGTGAATTACTGTTTTATAAAAAGGAGTTGCTGTAATGTTGCAGTACATCTAGTATGTAGTGGCAAACAGGGCTGAAATCCTGGATACCTTTTGTCTTGTGGCTTTTCTTGTTGTGTGCCACACTGAACAGGCTTCCTGGGAGGACTTAAGACAAAGCCTTGAGCAAACTGGTCAAGTTTTCATTGTTGACTTCATTGTTGAATTCGTTGTTGACCCTGCTTTGTGCAGGCAGCTGGGCTAAATTATGTCCTCCTAGACTGAATTATTGATTGAGTCTCTGATTGTACACTAGCACCAACCAGCCTTGCAGTATTACAGCTGCTGGAAGCAGCTGTATGTGTGTCTGCCTTCCTCTTCACAGTGCGGGGAGGAGGTAGTTGTAATGCCAGTGAGTGGGAGCATTGGCTGGAGGCAGCCTGCAGTGTTTTCCCTTAGACTGGAGCTGCAGTGTGTCACATTGCAGTTGAGCGAGCTCTTGTGGTCCGGGGTATGGATTGGTTTGTGGTAGGAACACTACTTACTCTTTATAGCAAAACTAAATTCCCCTGGTCATACCTTTGTCATCGCA